GCACAGATAACTTACCAACATGTTCCTAAGCCCAAATTTTGTATTATTCTGAAAATATATACTTTACAGATGCCAATGACTATCACATCATTATTTTTCTATAATATAATGTGACTGATACTTGCCATTATTGGAATTTTGTTATGAAATTTAGAGAACGAATACACCCTTTTTGCAAGTTTTCTGAATAAGTTTCAGAGAACGGATAGCTTAAAATTAGGGTTCAATCACCTATCTTGCTTCCTGCCTGGCTGGGTCTTACTAGCGTAAATTCATCCGGCCACAGAGTAAGACATAAAGAACTATAAAAAATTATGTTGTAACTCAATACAAAGCTTTTTTAAATTCCTTTTTGGTTATAAGGCAGATGTCTAACACCCCCCTCCCCCTCCCCACACACAACTGTACAATGATTATAATCTTCTGTCAATAGTTAATTAGTGGAATAAAAAAAATACTAGTACTGGAGATATGCATTTTTTACACATATATCTTACTCACCATTCAATACCTCAAATGAACACCTTTGTGATTACTCACAGGTACCATAAAGATGGGTAAATGAGCCTCAAAATATTAAGTTATTCCCATGGTAACACAAATATAAAGTTCACTTTCTTCTGTTCAAACTTTTATTTTAGATAATAATAATTATATGAAGGGATAATGTATGTACACAGTTATATTTCTAGAATAATACAAAAAATTGATCTCAATTGCCCCTGGTGTGGGACATTTGAGACCTTGTTATTTTAGGTGCGTCAATTGTGGTCAATGTTCACTTAAAACATTATAAAAGTACTTCTTAGATGCTATAAGTACATGTACTGGTACTACATTTGCAATTAAGAAAATAATACTGATAGATTTCATTATTAATAAAAAAATTAAGGAAATGAAAGCATTACTACTAATTTAAACGCAATGGCCAAGTCTCTTCTCTCTTGCTCTACTGGGTAACAAGGCTCCTCCTAAAATGTTTCACTTTCAACCTCCTGCTATATCGTGTTCATCAGTGTATATGGCCTTAGGGATCTCTGTATGTCTAAGAGATGAAATTATCCAATTCCCAGGTATTTCAGCCTGCTCCATTACCTTACCAATGTAATGGTATGTTGTTTTACTACTCTCCAATTTAACAAAAACATAGTCACAGTGTTCTATGCTCTATGCTGTATTTTCTTCCTCTGTTTGGTCTGGGATCCCAGTCAGCTCATCTTCAAATATTTTGACACCTAGGTCATCTAAGTCTGATGAGGAGTTGCTGGAAGTGTCATAGAAGACACGTTTTTTGGGCACCAGTCTTTAGCCTTGTGCCTCATGCTGAGGAGCTGGGTCTTACTGCTGCTGAGGTGCCACTTCCTTGTGCTGTCAGAGTTGCAAGACTGATGCTCTTTCCCTTTGTCTATTAGGTAATCCAGAAGAATAAAGCTAACCAAACATCCAGATGCCACATGACCTTCTGGTTCTTTTCTTATTTTCTTCAGGATGCATTCTGGGTCAAAAGGGTATATGCTACAAACTCTAAGTCCAGATTTCACAGAACTCTCTCACTTATTCTCCACTTGTTGTATGAGAGTCAGAAGCAATCTTGGTAGAGACCACTTTTAGATATATGTTGCATGATTTCCTTCACCTACCTTCCATTCAGTCAATACCTCTCTTCAATAAAGTTTAACCAAAAAAGTCTCCAAAACAGTAGGTATCCTTTCTAAGATACAGTACTATGTACCCCAAATGGTACTTCTTGCTCTTTACCTCTCTCTCGTCAACCCTTACCTCACCTATGGTATTTGTACATGGGATTCAACCATAGAAAATCACCTTAAACCTTTAATAACCCCAAAAAAGTGCTGTGTGACTGATTACCAACTCCTGCACTAGATAACACACACCATAGCTTTTTAAGAGCCTGAACTTGCTTAACCATTTGACTGTTTTGGTCGTATATATACATCTTACGAGCCACCGTTTTTGACATATATATACTCATAAATTCTAGCGGCTTCAAATCAAGCAGGAGAAAGCTGGTAGGCCCACATGCGAGAGAATGGGTCTGTGTGGTCAGTGTGCACCATATAAAAAAAATCCTGCAGCACGCAGTGCATAATGAGAAAAAAAACTCCAACCGTTTTTTTTTTAATTAAAATGCCAACTTTGTGGTCTATTTTCATATAGTATTTATAGTTGTATTCTCGTTTTCTTGGTCTCATTTGATAGAATGGAAAATAGAAATAGAGGTGATTTTGATTGGTTTTACTATACAAAGAACCTGGAAATGAAGCTCAAAGTAGGGGAAATGTTTGATTTTTGCCGATGTTCAAAAGTAAACAAATGATGTCTTTGTCCAATAAATGTCCAACTAGCCATTCTAATATGCAGTCATGAATGGGTTGACATTATATATAGAATTATTACAATATTTCAGTAGTCTGCATAACAGTAAATCTTCTATTTTTTGTTTGAATAAAAATTCAAAATAGAAAGCAAGAATAATATCAGAAAGGGACAAGAGATGTGACTGATGAACAAAGAAAATGTTATTTTAGAGCCAGGAATGTCTGCATTGTTCATTCTGGACCCTATTGTGAAACTCATATTTTTTAATTTTCATGAAATTGGCCAAATTGCAAATTTCTAACCATGTTATTGGGCAGTTAAAATCAGTAAATGGGCAGTTTCTTGTACTCAATTGACAGAAAAAAATGGAGTTTTAAAGAAATAGCTATGAGTTTGGTTGACTGGAACAACGGAATTAGCCAAAAATAGGGCTCAAATTGGGCGAAATCACCGATTCATAAATATCGCTGAGGTCGCTAACTTCGCGAGAGCATAATTCCATCAGTTTTCCATCAAATTTCGTTCTTTTAGTGTCATTACAATTGGGAAAAGATTCTCTATCATTTCATAAGAAAGCATGTGTGAAAGTACCACCAAACTATTCTTTCAAACCAATCAACAAAAAGATTGATAAATTAGACATATGCAACACTTGGGTATCTTTATTGTCAGTTCTCTGAACCATTTATCTACATTCCTATCAGACACATCAACATCTTGGGATCTTAATACAGGGGATTCTTCACTTGCCTAACCTTTAGGAATGGCCTACTTCCACATTTGGATTTGTCAAATGTGATACCACCTATGACTGCTTCACCTCACCTACCTACAGTATATAAGCAACTTCTACGTACATATACTACATTCTTTTCAAGATTGATGGACTGATTACATTGACTCCAGGCTGAGGGATTGACTACCTCAAACTCCTTCTGTTCTTCACCATTCTCCTTTGTATGGACTGATGAAGCCACTGTGTGGCAAAACATTTCCTCAATAAAGATACCCAAGTGTTGCACATGTGTCTAATTTATCAACTTGTCAGTTCTCTGAACCATTTATCTACAATCAACAAATACATCCAAACTAAACCATCCAGAGCTTGTGCAGTTGTACAGTGCACCTACTAGTCCACCCATTATCCAAGAGTCTTGAAGTTTTTCACCCTTGTAAACAACACATGGGTTTAGAACTTGACCAGCAGCAGTTACAGCAAACATGATGGATGTTAAACTTTTGAGGGCATTCAGCATGCTTTGCATTTTTCAGTAAGATTTGCCACTTGTCTCTTGGGTCATCAGTAGATTGGTTTAGTTGTAACTGATGATACTGCCTTGATATACCCCATCAATTGTCTGACCTGGGCAACTGATGTAAGCAAAAACATCCATTTCTGTAACAACTGCATGCTTCCTGAATGTTTTGCAGATGAAAGTTGATAGCAAATTCTCATGTTTCTTCAGGAATCCATGTGCCCAATCAATGTCTGAAGATTATTGGCAAATTCTGGTATAGCTCTCTGATTGTGGTCCAGGTAATCTTTGACAACATTTCTTAACTCATTGGATACTGAAAGCTATTCCAAAATCATTTTGAAGGAGTGCTGTTTTCCTTCAAATTTTTCAGGGTGATATGGACCTTGAATTGAAATGCTGCTGCAAATTTATCTTAGGTATTTTGTACTGTTCCATTGCATCTCTTTGTGACACACCTTTTGATGATGCCATCAAGGCATTCACCATGTTTACTTGCATCCTTGTGGTCTTCCTCTTATTTTGTGAATGCACTATCCTGTAGACACGAAAAACAGTTCTATATGAAATAGCATATGACATGCAAAACAGAGTTAATATTGGAGGTCTCCTATAAATATGACATACCTACCCAGGTGAAATATGACATAAAATAACATTTAATATTGGAGGTCTCAAATGCCCCTTCGTGTGGTCTCATATGCCCTTTACTACAAACCTTTTTTTTTAATAACACATCGGCCATTTCCCACCAAAGCAATGCAGCCCCAAAAAAGAAAAACATTCATCATTCACTCCATTACTGTCTTGCCGGAGGCATGCTTACACTACAGGTATAAAACTGTAACATTAACACCCCTCCTTCAGAGTGCTGGCACTGTACTTCCCTTATCTATAATTAAATAATTACTAACTTCTTGAAGGTAGGAATAAGAGCAATAAAAGGGGTAGAAGGCAGATGTTAGTTCAGGCAATTCTTAGTAAATTCTGAAAGATGGTTCAGCAGAGTACTGTACTTAAGGTTTTAGGTATATATAGATTGGAATCATACTAACCTAATTAAATAAATAATGCAGGGCTCATATACATCAGTTTTAAAGCTACTTCTTCTACCTGGTCTCAACTGCCTCATCTTAGTCTCAATTACCCCAATTGGTCTCACTGTCCCCACTTAGTGGTAATACTAAGTAAAAATTTTTATCAACCTGAAGCAGTGAATAAAACTAGTAAAATTAAAATGCAATATGGTACACAAAATTATTTCAATAAATAGTCTTTTAATCGCTGGAACAGAATCATAAAAACTATTCCTACTTTGCAGAAGTTTGAACATATGCATGATGGTAACACTGATTAAAATAATGTGATAATTTACACAAAAAATATAAATAATGATGTAAATACCTCTGGATTGAGAAATGCTGCATCAACAAGATAATGAAGAATGGTGTATACAGCATCATGTTGCAAACACAATTGAGGAACACGTTGACATCCTGCATGTCCACCACAACCACCTTCTAGTTGCAGGTCTAAATAGCGTGCACACCTTATCAGCAGACGATGCACATTAACAACATCATCTTCCTGTTACGTAAATCAAATTACCTGTGAAGCTTAAAATAATGAAATGAGATATAAAGTCACACTTACAAATTCATGGGGTTAGGTTCCCAGAGGTCCCACAGAACTGAAAGCTAAGAATAATGCAAAATTAAGTTAGCACAAGAAATTTTTTCAGATTTGTGTTTATTTTGTGTTAGACCATTCCTCTGCAATATATTACTAAAATGAACTAGGCTACTGTTTCAAGAAAATGACTAAGATTAAACATGTTATTTAGAGTCATCTACACTCTAACTTAACATCATAAAACAAAACTGTAGTATGTTCACACTGGAAACTGCCATAACACAAATCATCGTTGAACAATGGAAACAATGCAGAGAGGCAGTAGGCCTCTTGCAATGCTAGACAACTACTCAACTTATTTACAACTGATCACTTGTCCTGGATGCTCTATGTAAGGTATAATTTTCCTCATTGTGCTATGTACCTGATAAAGCCCATCCATGGGTGAAGGTGTACTAATAAAGACTTCACTGCACTGTCAACTTATCATTCATCAGCATTATGCCTTTATTTAAAACAAGTAAAGCTTAAACAGTTTAATAAAAAGCCTTTTAACCTATTCCCTCAATCTGCTTCTTCTCTAAGCCCACTGAGTGCCCTGTAATAATCAAACAAGCACTATAGTAAACTATACAAAATCTATAAAATCAAACCTGTTTAAATAAACTACATTATATTTTAAGGAATATAGACTCGGTGTAAAATAAAAATCCACAAGTTACACTATGTATGTTTATCACCATCATTACACTCCCACTCTCCTAAACCATAAAGACATCTGCTAAGAGAAAAGAGAAAAATATGGAAATAGAGGATTAAAGGTTTTCCAATTAAATCCCTTTTCTCTCATGCTCTCCCAACTTGGTAGCATCACACATGACCATTAAATCATTTAAATCGTCACCCTAATATCTTAGTATTGTAACTGCTCCAGAGACTAGGTATAAAGCACTTGTGAGCTGTCAAAAACAAAATATACATCATTCATATATTAATAAATGCTTCCATTCAGTCTGGTTCACTGCCACTTTTCATCAGATACTCACACACCTACCATGCTTTCTTACTCATTCACTCACCTTATCTTCCCATCTTCTTGTTGACCTGTCCCTTATTCTCTTACCCTCACATTCCCCTAACCCATTCAGGGTCCACACCAACAATCTGAAACTTGTCCACAGGGCCCAAGAACTTTCAAAAAAAAATTTTTTATTATTTTTTCTTATGATTTGATAGAGAATCTTTTTCTGAAGGTAATAAAACAAAAAGTATGAAATTTGATGGAAAATTGACGAAATTATGCCATCGCAAATTTTGCTGTGTCAGCAATATTTATGCATTGGCGATTCTGCCCACTTTGACTCCTATTTTAGGCCAATTACATTATTCCGGTCTACCAAATTCTTAGCTATTTCGCTAGTATCACTTCTATTTTATCGATAGAGCACAAGAAACTACCCAATCAACTATTTCAACTACCCAATAAAATGATCAGAAATTGGTAATTTGGCCAATTTCACACAAAGTTCAAAATATTCCAATTTCAAAATAGGGTTTGGAATAAACAATGCAGGCATTCCTGGCTCTAAATAACATTTCCTCTGTTTAGCACTTACGTTTCCAGGCTTCACAGATGAATTTCATTTTTATTTTTATTCACAAAGAATTTTTATTCACACCAAAAAATAAAAGGTTTACTGTTATGCAATATTGTAATGATTGTATAAATAATATCAGCACATTCATGAATGCACATTTTTTATGCAGTCTTTATTTTGTTTAATTTTGGTAATTAACTGACAAGGTCATACTTGTGTCTAATACAGTTTAATAAATACAGAATATACTCTATATTTGAGGAAAAGATGGAGATGTGTTTTGACAGCTAAATGGCTGTGCTATTTGTACAAAAATCAATTTTGTACTAAAAATATTTTTTTAAAAAGCTATTTAAAAATAAGGAATCTAAATAAACCAGTGAAAATGGAAGCTTATTTATAAAATTAATTTTCATGTGACTTAGATTTGTCCTATTCTAAATATTATAGAAACCTAGGTGATTACCTATACATTATCATGAAAATGCATTGAGTAACCAGTGTGGCTTTGCTACTGCTGCCTCATGCCCTCTTGTATAGGGAAATGAATGTTAAAGCCTTTACTCTCACTCCATATGTATTTGAAGTAGGTTCACTCACTCACTCCCAAGTAGTGCTCTGCCTTGTACTCTCATGCTTAGTCTGATCTCTGTTTTCTAGAGTTCTCTGTTCATTTTATGATCCCTTGCCTAGGAATATCGATGAAACATCCTGTATGGATAATTTGAATTTAATATCTCTGTGAAGACATTGATATGAGTTGTGTTAACAATGTATCAGTTATTTCATGTCTTATATAGATTGCCTAACTCTACTAACAATAGCTATATACAGTGGACCCCCGGTTTATGATCAGCTCCCAATGCGACCAATTATGTAAGTGTATTTATGTAAGTGCGTTTGTATGTGTATGTTTGGGGGTCTGACATGGACTAATCTAATTCACAATATTCCTTATGGGAACAAATTCGGTCAGTACTGGCACCTGAACATACTTCTGGAATGAAATAATATCGTAAACCGGGGGTCCACTGTATATAATTCTACCCTTTATGTGTAAAGGGAAAAAGAAGTAATTTCATGCTCTTTATTAAGATTATGGTTCATAGAGATATGAAAATCCAATCGAAGTTTTATTATTATTAAATACAAGGATTTTACTCTTGAGTTTTGGTCATCCTAAAGAAAGCAAGAAGATTAACAAAGAAAGCCTCTTTAGTTAAGGCGGCTATATTTGCTGTACTAAACCCTTGTTGCCATTGAAGTTCTTCCCTAGATAAAAGCCAACATTCAAACTGATTCCCCAGCAAAAGGATCAGTGGCCTAATGTAAACCCCTTCATACACAACAAACTAACTAGTGGTTTCCCACTACATGAAAATTACACTTTTTGTTTCCATAAAAGCTTGAACAAATACAAGTCTTGTTTCTCACATAAGCCTTCAATGTCTACAGAAAGTCGACAATAAGACCAATGAGACCAACAGCACTACCAAAGATCTCTATGAACAGAAATTGCACATTAAACCACCGATCATTTTGCAGGGGAATCACTTTGAATGTTGGCTTTTATCTAGGGGAAAACTCCAATGGCAACAAGGGTTTAGTGCAGCAAATATAGCCTTCTTAACGAAAGAAGCTTTCTTTGGTAACCTTCTTATTTTCTTTAGGATGACCAAAACTCACGAGTAAAATCTTTGTCTTTAATAATAATAAAACTTAGATTGAATCTTCACATCTCTATGAACCATAATCTCAATAAAGAGCATGAAATTACTTCTCTTTATCTTTACACATAAATGGTAGAATTATATATAGAGTTATTGTTTGTAGACTTAGGCAATCAATATAAGACATGAAATAACAGATACACTGCTAACACAACTCATATCAATGTCTTCACAGAGATATTAAATTCAAATTATCCATACAGGATGTTTCATCGATATTCCCAAGCAAGGGATCATAAAATGAATAGAGAACTCTAGAAAACAGAGATCAGACTAAGCATGAGAGTACAAGGCAGAGCACTATACACAAATAACCCGCACATAAAAGAGAGAAGCTTATGACGACGTTTCGGTCCGACTTGGACCATTGACAAAGTCACACTAACCAGAGGTGGAGCAGGACGGATATATATAGGCAGGAAGAGGTAGAGGTAGAGGTAGAGGTAGAGGAGGAGGAGGAGGAGGAGGAGGAGGAGGAGGAGGAGGAGGAGGAGGAGGAGGCGGTGGCGGTGGCGGTGGCGGCGGTGGCGGCGGTGGCGGCGGTGGCGGCGGTGGCGGCGGCGGTGGCGGCGGCGGCGGCGGCGGCGGCGGCGGCGGCGGCGGCGGCGGCGGCGGCGGCGGCGGCGGCGGCGGCGGCGGCGGCGGCGGCGGCGGCGGCGGCGGCGGCGGCGGCGGCGGCGGCGGCGGCGGCGGCGGCGGCGGCGGCGGCGGCAGCAGCAGTAGTACAAGAATTGTATATAATACCGACAAGATGAAATTAAAACACATGCACAACACCCGGGCATCCCCATCGTAGACGTTTCGCCATCAAGCCAGCCACTGGATGGCAAAACGTCCACAACAAAGACAACCAGACGCCGCACATGTGTCTTAATTTCATCAGTAGTTGTGGTAGTAGTAGTAGAAGAAGAGGTACTACTTGGGAGCACTACTTGGGAGTGAGTGGGTGAACGTACTTCAAATACATATGGAGTGAGAGTAAAGGCTTTAACATTCATTTCCCTATACAAGAGGGCATGAGGCAGCAGTAGCAAAGCCACACTGGTTACTCAATGCATTTCCATGACAATGTATAGGTAATCACCTAGGTTTCTATAATGTTTAAAATAGGACAAATCTAGGTCACATGAAAAATTAATTTTATAAATAACCTTCCATTTTCACTGGTTAGTTTATTTAAATTGCTTGTTTTAAATAATTCTTTAAAGAAATATTTTTAGTACAAAATTTATTTTTGTACAAATAGCACAGCCATTTAGCTGTCAAAACACATCTCCATCTTTTCCTCACAAATATGGAGTGTGTTCTGCATTTATTAAACTGTATTAGACACAAGTATGACCTTGTTAATTAATTACCAAAATTAAACATAATAAAGACTCCATAAAAAATGCAGTTTAAAGCATGATATACCTTATGTGGTAAAAATTTGCATATTAAGTTGAACTAAATATTCATTTGTGCTATCTACCACAAGACTGTCATCCAGCTCAAGTATAGACATCAGAGAAATCATCAGAGAGGTTCAGTTCAGTGATGCTCACACTGAGGTGTATCACTTGCAGAATAACTCTACGGTGCTGGTCGCCATCAAGACCTTTATTACAAGAAAGATGTCTTCAACCTG